GCTTCTTTTTTTTTTTTTTTTAATCGAAACGACATTGCAAATCTCTTGGGGGTGTATTTGAGCAAAATGAGCTCAACACTGATAAGAAGCTCAAGCGTCAGAGCCCAGCCTTTAACTACAGAAACGATTGAATCTCTTTCCGCTACAATATCATTCCTGGGAGTTGCGTGCTGTGCAAAGTAAATGTCAATTAGTGTAGAGTCACGCTCCATAGGAAGATGACGAGCTATCCTTTGTTGATGCATTCCACGTCAATCTCATTCTCTGATCTTCGGCTTTAATGGTGTTTACGTCTGAAGAAAATAAGGATTTTACAAACAGTGGTTTTCAAAAAAAAAAAAGCTATGATGCAGCAAATCTAAAACCCCCTTTACATCTAATTTGTTATGATTTCTTTCATATTTTAAATACATTTTCTCATTTATTTTAGCAACCTTAAGTGTTTTTTGCCTAATCGATACCTAAATATATATTACATTTTCAATATAATGAACATAATCTATTATATTTGAGTAAATGTGTATCATATTTAAAAACACGATTCCCTGGTAAAAACAACAGCTTATTTTACTTGTACTAATGTGTGAGCATTTGTATTTGTGCATCATTGGTATTTATTTTGTTCAGTTTTTTTTTTTTTTTTTTTTTTGTACTAAAATAAACCATTAACTGAACTAAAATATATCTAAGCTTTTCTTTAATTTATGTTTGCTACTTTACAAGTGCTGGCAAAGTGCTATATACCAGCATATACAGTACACATTTAAAAGCTAATTAAAAAAATGCTCTATAAATGTTCTATAAAGGTGCCATATACTGCGATTGGTTGATTTAAGTTCAATTGTTCTCTACAATATCTACATAGTAGATTTATGGCTTCGGTAAGTTAAAAAATGTCCAGAAAATGGTGTTATAAGCTAATATATTGCTTGATAAAAAAACCTATAGAATCATAAGGTCCATGATTGACCATATATGATTCATGTCATGAATATTAATAAGCTCCGCTCTGATGTGCCAATCTTTTACACACACACACTCACATTCTCACACATGCACACACAGCAGCCACATATAAACCCATCAGAGTAATGTTAACCTATTTTGCTCACCAGATCTTTTGTGGATGAAGGCTAAATCATAATTAAACTTGACAAAAGAGTGATAGAAATGTATGGCTTTTTTTTTTTTTTTTTTTTTTTTAAAGCTACAGTCGAAGAAAACACAGCCAGAAATTAAAATCAACCTCTGCATCAACCGAGTGATTTTGACACAAGGTAACTAAACACCGTATGCATCTTCAGCGTGGCGATGAATAAATGTGTAACCTGTAAATCTTGCATTTTGCATCCTGAGGCGAGTTTGAAACATGTCTTATGTTTTCGTTGGTCCGTAACGTACAGTAAACAATTTGGGGCTTGCATTTATAAAATAAAAGCATATTTCACTTACTAAGGGAGAAGGATTATCACTGTTGTATCACTATAAAACGTTTGGCTTATCAAACACAGCTTGAGGTGTGCATATTAATAGTTTCAGAGCTTTTTTTTTTATGATCTCAGAATCGCGTTTTCTTGACGTAGCTGCTCGTTTGGTCCGGATGAACGACCTAAAGTAGGCATACATGCAAATGCGTATGGCGTGGCCTGTAAGTCTCCTCATAGTTTTGTTCTTCTGGTTGGCCAATTGTCCACCGGAAGTTTACACTTGTGAAATTTACACGAGAATGATGAAACTGTGGGTTCTGAGACTCCATATATTGATCTTTTTTTTTTTTTTTTTTTTTTTTTTTTTTTTTTATCATTTTATGCCTTGGTATACACAGATTTTCATTATATTGCACCTTTAATTATGCTAATTGGTAGAGTCCAGTCATTTATGCACTAATTAATAATCATCTTTAATTTTTTTTTTTGTGATTTTGAGTTTTGTTTGTGTAATCTTTTGAAAAACAAGAATATGCATCCTAAAGGAAGTCATAATGGCTTCTTTTACCCTGTTGCATGCAGTAAATGGCTTTAGATCATCTTTATTTTGCTTCGGAAATGACCTTCACCCACCATTACCTCTGTATATATAGTCATGTTATAGTGTTTTGACATTTTGTTCAATAGCAGGCGAGATCATACTTTACTTCTATTTTGCAAGCAAATTATTTATTCATTTTCATCCAATGCACATGTTGAGCAAGTGCTGCTGGAAAAATGACAAGGTCAGATCTTACCATTCACATGTTAGCATTAGATATGGACTCCAGCTGCTAACAGCTGATCTTCCACCCTTCAGCATCTCTGTCTGAGCATTCATGAGGAAAGCTGCCCTCCATTAAGCACACTAGATAAAGTCCTGTCATTGTCTGATGGCTCAGTAAGCACATGCATTTCTTATCAGAGGAATTGTTTGGGAAATCTTGGCATGGACATCTTTGCAGTTAGACCTCAGACCATTTTAGTTGCTTTTGAAAAGATTGTTACTAGTAAACTGTCACTAGATCATAAAGGATGATTTAAAAATAATACCATAACTTTGGAAATCTGTATTTAATCAAAGAAACATGATGGATTCTTGGGTAATTAATCAATGTCAAGAGTACTTAGTTTTATTTGAGTAAAAAAACAAGTTCATAGCATGTCGGACATAACAGTTTGCATAGCTGCAGTTATTCCTTTTAGTTAAGCAACCAAATAAAACTTTAGAGCTTCCTTAAATCGACGACAAAGCGATTTGGCTCTCCTTTTTTCTTCTTTGCAAAGTTCTCAATTTTAAAAGTTGGGGTATTCTTTTGTGATACCCTGTATATTAGTGCAACAATGTAAATCAGTGTTTCCCAACCCTGTTGCTGAAGGCACACCAGCAGTAAACATGTTCAACTTATTTCTATTCAAACCCACCTGAATCAAGTTATCAGAACAATAGAATAGACTCTAAAACCTGAAATGAATGGGTCAGATAAGGGAAACTTCCTAATACTGTATGTATGGTTGATGTGCCTCTTGGAACAGGGTTGGGGAAACGCTGCCAAAGTAACGACGTGTTATTGGTATGAGCTACACCATTTTAATGGTCTGTTAATTAACTATTTCAACAGAATGTTTCCTTTATTTTTGAAATGCATTACAGGACCTCTATAATTTTAATGGTGGAAACTTTTATTTGACATTTTTGATATTTAGAATTTATTTTAAATGTATAAATTGAGCTGGCAGTGGTGCTTCTGTTATTGTGCCGATTTATTTCTATAATATGCATTTTAGCATTTGTTAAAATTTGTAATATATTTTTATTTTAATTAAATATTCACTATTTTAATTAGCTTTTTTTAATTTAATCTATTTTTTGTAATTCCGTTTCTAAAATATCTGTTCTTTTTATTAATTTTCAATGTTTCGTTTGATTCACTTTTTAATTTTTATTTAATTAGGGCTGGGCGATTTGGCCTAAAATCAATCTCGATTAATTGAACATTTTAACTATTACGATTAATTATCTATTATTTTATTTATTTATGTTATTTTTATGCTTTAAATTTTATTTTAATATGATCAAATATTACAAGTGGGAGATTTCTGAATGAAGCACACACCGTCTACTATCTATGATTATTTATTGAACTTCAATGTTGAACTACTGAAATTAAAACACACATTGCCTAAAACAAAAAATTTTTTCTTATAAAAAGCGAAAATAAATAACTTGCGCTTTTGGAAACAAAATTAATTGTTAATGTTTTTCATATTAAAAGTAGAAAAGGATCTTCTAAATAAAATAGCTCCTTGTGTATTCTGTAAATAATATTTTAACAGTGCATTTCTTAAATCTTCTGTAAACATGTATTTTAATGTAAATTTTTATTGTAATTAAAAATATGCTGTTTCAAAGCATCTCTGGCGCAGCTTTCAATCATGATCAATGTAGTACAAGTGTGCGACATGTAGTTGCATTTTTGAGAGCTGCGTAGGTATGCGAACGCTGTTCTTGGGTCAAGTAAAAATGGTTTTGTTTTCAACTTGAGATGAAATAAGGCAAAATTAAGCATTTTTCCTTTAAAACAAGCAAAGTTGTCTGCCAGTGGGGTAGGTGAAATCTTGTTTTTTGCATTGAAATGTCAATTTGGACTGGAAACGAGACCAATTCTAAGGAAGAATTTGTTTGTTGTTGTTGTTGCAGAAATCATATAAATTCCGTATTTGTACAATTCTGTAACTCCTAAACAATATATTGTGCAGCCCTAATACAAATAGACAATTATTTAATTTTATCAAATGAACAGATTTAAAACGTGTTTAAAAGAATTCTAATGGAATTTTTCTAAAAAATTAACTTGATGTATTTAAATATCTCTGTCCTTGCAAGTAGCATCTCACATTGCCATTTTATCTGGAAAATCAGCACAGATAGATTCAGATCAGTAACATGCATGATAAAATGTCTGGGAAACCTTCAGTAAATGACGTCCTGGCATCATTACACCATGCATGTTCCTCATTTAGCAAACATTAGGAATATAAAACAGAAGCAGCTTATAGTCTCAAACTTACCATTGAGTAGGCAGAGACAAGATCTCAAAAAAATAAAAAAAATCCCACACACACCTGAAGCATAAGCACAGAGCAGATCCACAGACGTACACCCATACAATCATCCCGCCCTTCCTGCAGGATGCCATATAATTACTTTAGTAAGTAAGGTGCTCCAGTCGGTTCCTCCTACTCCTGGATCTCCAAACTCTCTCATTCACTCTCTCTCTCTCTCAATCCCCTCCCTCCTCTCTCTCAGTTCGGGACGCTCTTTTGGCAAGTAGAGCATGACTTTGTCCATCTGCCACTGATCAGAGACCTGTGAGAGCAAAACCACCTCTGTGGAGCAGTCCAGAGCGACCACAGCCGCCTCTGACTCCAGATCAGGATTGAAGTGTGTGTGTGTGTGTGTTTGAGGGCCAGGCAGGGTGAGAAGTGGGTGAGAGGGAGGAATAGAAAGAGAGCGAACGCTCCAGACTCAGTGGCAGTATGGAAATGGAGAGGCTGGGGAGAGGAGGAACCAAAGCGAGCGCGGGCCCCAACACTCTCCTGAAAGCTGCACTGGCTGTGTGTGTATGTGTCTGCATCGCACTGCTGATCGCCGTCATCACGGGTGAGTCGGCCACATGTGCTGAGATTATTACTCAATGATGACAGATTATATTATACACTCAATTGAACGTACAAGTGTAGCAATAAATATGTAGACAGATGGATTGAGACAGAAAGATAGAAAGGCATTTAAATGTCCAATAAATGTATATGTAAATGATTAATATGCAAATAAAGTGATAAATAAGTAAGTAATGTGTATGTAAATTAAATATATGGAAAATATATAAATAAAGAGATATACACAAGTATATTTTTGATTATATATGAATATGTAAATGTGTAAATGGAATATGCTAATTTATCCATAGATATGGTCAAGCCCGAAATTGTATCGTACCCCTGGGGTATGAATAAATTCGGGGTTGACTGGATCTATTTAAATTTACCAATAAGTATGTAAACAGATCGTAAGATAAATGTAAATAAAGTAATAGACAGACAGATGTAAATGAAACAATATATAGTTATGAATATGTAAATAGAATATGTATTTTAAACAAAAGATATGTAAATTAATTGGATGGATGGATGGATGGATGGATGGATAGGTGGATGGATAGTTAAATATGTGAATAAAGCAATAGACAGATGTAAATGAAAGGATATATTATTATGAATATGTAAATGTTTAAATAGAATATCTGTTAAGCAATATATTTAAATTTATCAGATAGATAGATAGATAGATAGATAGATAGATAGATAGATAGATAGATAGATAGATAGATAGATAGATGAATATGTAAAAGCGATAGAATATGTATCGTTTCATTTATTGGTTTATTTACACATTTACATATTCATAACTATAAACATGGTTTCATTTACCCCTTTCTGTCTATCACATTGTTTACACATTTCTCTATCATCTATCATCTATCCCATTGTTTATATATTTGATTAATTTACATATCTATTACTTAAAATACATATTCTATTTACACATTTATAACTAAATATTAAACAATTTGATATGTAAATTAATCAAATATATTAAGATGGATGGATGGATGGATGGATGGATAGATGAATGAATGTATGAATAAATATATGAAGTAATAGAAAATAACACAAAGAGTGATCAATAAATGCATGTAAACATGAATGAAAATAGTGACATGTAGATGGATAGAGGGTCAACTGGCTGTGTTTGGATGTGTGTGAGATTATTTTAGGAGTGTATACGGTTACACACGCAGCGTGTCTTTTGAAGGCTGTAATTAGCACAGTCAGTAGGAGCTCTGCTTGGCAAACGTGCATATGTGTCTTTAAAGTTTTGATGCTGGAGGCTTTCGAGCGCATTTTTCGCAGTTGTTTGTGAATGTGGGTGTTTAAGTGACTTCATGAACGAGTGTGTTCTTAAAGGGATAGTTGACCTAAACATGAAACTGTCTTTATTTACTCATGGTTTAGTTACTTCTGTGAGGGAGAAAAAAGATGTTTAGCAGTGTGTTCATGCTGCTCTTGTCTTAAAAATATGGAAGTTTGTGGTGACCAGGGGCTGTTAAACTCTAGACGACCCATAAAAGTGTCTCAACTTGTTGAATGACATGCAGTGCATAAAAAAAAAAGTGGGGTAATGGGGTGGGAGTTCATTTTTGGCCAAACTATTACTGTTACCACAGAAATAGGGCGACTTGAATGTTCATCTCATGACATGCTGTTGTGTTGAAGTGTATGTAGATGTATTTTGGTATTTTGCTGTCTGGGTGGTGTACAGCAAATAAATGATGTTCTTCTCATTGTTCTTGGTTGTTGAGGGCTGCCTGCATATTTGTGGTGAGACTACAGTGTAATTATGTTCATTTCTGTCTGTACATATTCTAGTCGCACACACACATACGCAGTTGTGTGTGCTGGTTGTGGGGATAATGAGGCTCAGTCCCACGGGGCTGGGTGCTGGATCCTGCTGTGGTCATCTGCTGTCCAGTTGTGGACTCAACCATAAACACAGGCCCTTAAAAGCAATGCTTGTCTGATTTCACAATGTACTTACAGTTTTGTGCTCGCTCAAATTCACTAATTCACACAGCTTCCCTGACCTCTGCATGGAGAGTGCGCACTTATCAGGTTTCAGTCTGTTGAAATGGATATTACAAAATATTAATTTTTTTTTTTTTTTTTTTTTTTTTTTAACATTTCTCTTAATTTGAGAATTCTGCATTCTGCACTGTGGAAATATCTTTTTTCCTGATTGTCTATTGCCTTGTTAAATGGATAATAATATCCAAGGAAATGACAAACATGATTAACTGCATGCTTTCCACCTTTATCAATGGAAAAAGTCATCTATGCAGAGATAGATTTCTTATTAAATTAAATAAAACAATTCCAGGGTTTTTACATTTTTTTTTAAATTATTAAATTTAATTCACATTTTATTAATTGTTTAATTATACATGATTAGGGTTTCCGGATATGGCAGCAGAGTGAGCAGTCGCATTCTGTTACCTCTCCCAGTTCACGCCAATGTTGCTTATCTATCTACACCTATGATCTACACCCATCCTTTTCTTCATCGTTATTTTGTTGTATAACTACTGATTGGTTTTGCTCAAGCCATCAGTTTTTTTTTTTAACTTATTTCTCACATGGTTCTACACAGCTGAGGGGGGATTGGCGGCGCGGCTGTTCAGACTAACACCGACACAAGGAGTCATAGTGTTCATTTGTTTCTTTTAATGACAGCAGTAAACAACTGAACAATTATTTGAACTGTACAAGCATACAAGCTAAAATTAACTTTATTTATTTATATATATATATATATATATATATATATATATATAATTTATTATTTTATCCACAAACTGTGCATCTTTCATCACTGCAGTGTATCGTAATAAGCTTCTGAAAGAACATTTCAACTACACTACTAGTACATTGATATTTGTATAATTACTAAATAAAGTTTACTTATACTTGACCTTTACTTAAGTATACTTATTTTTTTCCTAAGGGTGCACTTTACTGACTTATCAAGTACAGCCAGGGGGAGTATTGCTGCTCTGACAGCCAAGTTGGGTCAAAGCTAGGGATGCTTCGATCAGGATTTTTGCAGCTGATACCAAGTACTGATTCCTTGTCATGGTGATCAGCTGATACTGAGCATCGATTCCAATGCTTCACGCTTTATAATGTATTGAGCACATTTTCCCTCAAAGTATGAACTTTAAGAGAAGATCTTGCCTTACCTAAGAGAATAAGGTTTTAAATGCAGCATCCTTGATTTAAACGCGTCTTTTTAGGTGTGAACATGTCATGGCCAGAAACAGCTTTTACAGCAAATAATTCATTCATTCATTTTACTTCGGCTTAGTCCCTTCTTTAACAGAGGGTTGCCACAGCGGAATGAAACGCCACAGAAAATAATATAACAAGAAATAAAAATTGTCATGAAAAATTACAATGCAATTTGGAAACACTGCAAATAATGAAAGAAGAATTCAACATGTCTCAATCAAGAAATCATTTGGAGCTCACATTTAATGCATAATAAGGTAAAATGCACACCTATAAATCTAATACTTTACTAAAAGGAAATGGACCTATAAACTGTTTATTGCAATAAATAAATATTTAAAAATAAAATTTCTTGTAATATACTTATGTTAAAAAATAAATTGTTTTATTTATCTAACAATTTCAGCCAGCTTTTGGTGAATTTGCAATATTGTCTGCGCAGAACTTTTGGGTTTGTATGTGTAAAAAGACCTAAATGCATGCAAGACCATTCAAATATTTTGCTCGTCTCTAACTATTGACAGCAGATTACTCAATAAGAGAGAGAGAGGGATTTGCACTCATGATATCTTTATTGCTCTATTCATTTAACTGAAGAAATGTAATTCTTAGACCATCACTGTGCCTCTCGCGATCTGTTTTCTTGCTCATTTACTCTGGTTGCCATGATTTCCGAGTATTTAACAAATTTTTGGGAATCACTGAGCCTGTATAAATTTGCAGGAGACGTGCGGAGCTTCTGGAAAAGGTCATAAGGTTGGATGAGACACTAGATAAAGGTGATAACTCCGCTCGCACGAGTCGCGCCAATAAACTTTAAACAAGTCGCACTGCATCTGTATATATTTTAGCAGCTATTTTTAGCTGCTGTGACGAGTGCATCGATCGCTCACGCACCAACACATCATTTACCTGTGTGGTGGCTGCTGTAGGCTATGCAAAATATACGGGAGCGGACGTGCGTCTTCAGGTGTGGCGCGCTCTTTCAGAGAGCAGAAATTTTTAATCGCGTGACCATGTAGAGACCGAAATCACATGTCATTATGTAAATAAGATATTACATAAAGCGATTTAGCTTGTTTATTAAAAAGTTGTGATCTGGCGCTATATATAAAATACAATTACCTTGACTTCAAGGGGGGCGGGAAAAGCTGTCGGAAGGGCGGGGCTCCCCCCTATATAATGGTAGGGGAAATACTGCATTAAAGTTAAACAAATTAGTGTAAAATTATTTGACTTTCAAGCAAGGGGTTTAAACAGTTGTGTGGCAACAGTGTGTTAATAAAGCCAGCCTCTAATGGTAAAAAATATATATATATATTTAATTCTATTTTTTTATAATCACACTTGCTAAAAACGGTGCAGAAACACTTTGTTTGTTCTCCCTTAGTAAGTGTCATTTGAAAAAGGAAAGCCCCGCCCATTAATGCTGGTCTTTCTCTCTCTCATTAGCATAAACAGCCCTGAGTGAGAAGCAGTCGTTCGCTATTACAGTTTTCACCAGAGTATTATAAATGTAGAGTTGTATACTAGTCCTGTTTTGAATCTGCCCCCATGGTGTCTTACGGGTATTTTTAGCTCCGCCCTCTTCTGAAATGGCCACAATCTCATCTGAATTTAAAGCAACAGTCACTAAAATGGTAAGTTTGGTTTAAACCCTTAAAGGGGAAGTTTCAAAGAGTTATAATATTTGTGTAGTATTTTTAGCTTAAACATTGCATACACACTCTAGGGACATCATAGACTTGTTTTACATCTTGTAAAAAAGGGCATAATAGGTCCCCTTTAAATGAAAGTTAAAAAAAATAGGGTTCACTGTGTTATCAAACAAGACAGCTCCTTCCCATCCTTTCCATTTGTGGATAGTACATTACATATTACCAGCAGTTCATCTAGAAAGGGGTTTAGTTATTATTAATCAGACAAACAATAATTTTTTTTCTTCTATTTATTCAATTTAAAATCAAGCATATTGGAATAAATAAATCCATTCTGTACAACCAAGTAAAAAAAAATACATTTTCTATAAATTAATTATGTAACCTAATTAGCTGGACTATACCATAACATGTTACTTGTCTCCATGTGCAGTTGGTAGATGTGCAGCTTGTTAGGAATGTGTGTAGTAGAGCATGCACTGTTTTTGTCCTGGGATCCAGAGCATGGACAGCTGAAGCCCAAGCGCAGTGGGAACAGAGTATGTGTGTGTGTGTGTGTGTGTGTGTGTGTGTGTGTGTGTGTGTGTGTGTGTGTGTGTGTGTGTGTGTGTGTGTGTGTGTGTGTGTGTGTGTGTGTGTGTGTGTGTGTGTGTGTGTGTGTTTGTGAGCATTTGTGAATAGATTGGTCTGTTTGACTTTTTTTTTTCTCTCTCTCTCTCTCTTCTGCAGTATCACAAAAAGCAAGCAATGAAGACCTCTGTCTAGGCCCACACTGCGTTGAAGCAGGTAAACGTACTGTATATCTTGTACTAGGAACAAAATGTCATGTGGACATCTCCCAGTAGACGACCACCTAGCAATTTACTAAACAATACTCACTTTTGCCTTAAACATAATAAGCAGACATTATGATTCAGTTGAGTTGAAACACTGTGTTTAGGATCACTGTAATGCTAAATGTGTGTTTGCTGATGTGTCTTCTCCAGCCGGATCTATCCTGAGTAAGATGGATCAGTCGGTGGACCCGTGCGATGACTTCTACCAGTACGCATGCGGAGGCTGGCTTAGGGAAAACCCCATTCCCGAAGACTCATCAAGCTATGGGATTTACCCATGGCTCAGACAGAACGTAGACCTCAAGCTGAAAGGTGCACTGATTCGCATGAACTAAATCTACCCTGAGCCCAAATATGGTGATTTTTAATATTGAATATCTGTGCCGCAGAGTTATTAGAGCAGCCCGTGAGAAGTGGAGATATTGAGGCTGTGAAGAAGGCCAAAGTCCTGTACGCATCCTGCATGAATGAATGTAAGAACCACAAAATAAGCTCCTGAAAGCTTTCATACAGTTACACACATGGTTGCTGATTACTTTTTGATTAATTTTAAATATCAACACTGTTTGTTTGCTAATTTCGTATACTGGAGGCTTCTAGAGCTGAAATTCAGATGTTGAAATAAGCATTGGGTTTTTTCTTTGTAAGCTTTAAACCAATCACAACAGACTAGGTCGACTGGCCAATCAGAGCTGACCAGATTCTAAGAAAGGAGTGGTTTGGAATGGTTAAAAATGGCACACTCTAACCATATATATTATGTTAATTATATGATTTCAATATAAACCTCACCTAGTAAGATGGGAGGGCACAATGGAACTCAATTATAACTCAACAAATAAATCATCAATTTTTTTTATTTTTTATCTTTTTGTTCAGAGTATATGCAGGAATCCTAAAGGTAATTTAAATACCTTTTTAAGACTTTTTGAAGACCTTCTCAGAATATTTTAAGACCTAATCGTCTCAAGTTCTAATCAGTACCAAACCTTTAACCTAAAGGTGCAGTAGGCGATCTGCCAAAATGCTAACCGCATAGCATATTATCTTTGGACGCCAGGGAGGGACTGTGATTCGAATGGCAGATCTGCGTGAACAGATGTGCAAAAGCCCAAATCTGCATTTGCTGACAGAGTTTGGGCTACTTTTTGGAATTATGGGAGATGTCGGCCAGACAATATTTAATTGGATAAACATTTTTTTTAGTTTTATGCCTTACCCAGAATATAAAAATACATAAACACATTTAGACAATTTACTGTAATCATTACTATTGGACTGTGAAAAGACTTTCAACCACCTCAACAAAATGTTTCTGAAGACAATCACCTACTGCACCTTTAATAAACAGCGGTTAATAAACAGTTGTAGTTAAATAAATCAATGGAGCACAGCCATGCAACAGGCTTCAGCCACTGTTAAAACCTATCTTTCTCCAACATTTTCCCATTTTGCCGTCTGTTTTGCTCTATAGTTTCGCTATATGTGGAGAGCGTCACAACAACTTACCGCGTTTGTCACAAATTACATGACATCACCTGGTCGTAGGAGCTTGACTGGATGCTTCCGAGCCTGAACCAATCGTGTGGATCAAGCAGACCATTGTTAATATTAGAAGGAAAATAAAATTATTTATGCTTTTTTGTAGTCAAAAATTTTAGACAACACTTAAATTTAAGACCTCGTAAAAACACGATTGAGACTTCTTAATACCTTTTAAGGGCCTTAATTTTCTCAATTTCGTCACCTTGAAATTATAAGGTTTTGTCTTCGTTCTGAATGATTTGGAGATATTGAGCTTCAAAGTTTTTGCATTAGATTGCAAACAGTATGTGTAACATTTGCTTTTTAAATAAAGTCTTAATGTAATCTACATCCCATAATGTAAATAAGTTGTCATTTAATAATGTCAATAACTCAAGTTTGACAATATCAGATAGAACTTTATAATTCTAAGGTAACGATTTATCAACTTTTAATACTTAAAGACTCTGTGGACACCCTGTTATAGTATATGGATAAAATATGGTAGTGTTATTACTTTAATAGAATTTATTTGATTTTTGGAAATCCACCGGTGGCCTGACACAGGAAACCCCACTTTGGTAATCATTGGTTTAGGGGAGTGGTTCAAATCTTGAACACACTATTTCATATTTGATGTTTAACATTTCATTGACAATCCATGTTTAGTATGTTTGTTAAATATTGGAGATGTCATTTGAACTGTTTTCTGAGGTCCATTTTATAACCCAATCAAGATTTGTCATCAGAAATGTAATGCTTTAAAGCAACAGACTATTTTGTATGCTCTTTGATCATTCTCGTTTAAACAGTAGTTGAATGTATTGTAGACTCACACGAGTTTGATTGACTAAGTAGTTTGCATAATAATGCATAACATTTTTTTCAAAATCACAGTTTGTGTCCAGTGATGTAAACTTTTGAATGTTTGTTTGACGGATACTTCCTTCATAGTTGGGTGCTACTGTAAAATTAACCCTTTTTCAAGGAAAAACAAATTAACATTGATTACAATATGGTAACAATACTGTAAGTCTTGTAATAACGCTTAGTAATACTTCAGAGTTTTTCCAATGAGTATTTCAATGAGTACATTTCAAAGAGTTAAAAATGCAACATCAAATGATCTACACAAAGCAATGCTGAACAGTTACAGTAACAGTTACTCATGCATAGTACATATACTGTAGAAGGCAGATGATCTTTTAATCTTCTGAAAATCCAGCTTCAAATTGTGCCTTGTTTATTAATGAATTCATGGTAAAATGAAGCGAACAAAGGACTCACTGATGTGGTCTGAAATGTCATTTAAAATAAAGTTCACCCACTTTTCCTGTTGCTGGAATTAAAAAGAAAGACAAAGCAAAGACTGTTTCTTCAGCGCTTGGCATTGCACAGCATCCTGCAGTCATCAGAGCATCTTTATTGTTGACCTGCGTTTGCCTCTTGTTATTTACCTACAACAGCACAAACCAGTGGGCGGAGCTAAACCTGCAGTGATGTAGATGGAGGTGTTGATCATGTTTTGTATAGATTAGGTTCAGCCACACTGTTACCTAATAAAGTGCCACATTCTGTCAGTTTGCCAGATTGGCTTCAGTATAAGCTGTTTTTAGCCTAACTTGAAAGCTTAGAGTTCTAAAACTTAAAGCATGGTCTCATAGTGGAGTTGCTCTTCAGTGGACCGGCCTTCAGCAGTTACATTTGCATCGTTGACCTGAATTAATCTGACCTTCAACAGTGAAACTGAACTGAATCAGTTTTAATATAACTAGACTACTATGCCAGCTTTCTAACTTGATGGAATGTTGCACAATTGAAATATAATGTGTTTTTATTCTCTATTCACATTTGTAAAAAGTGTTATAGAAACAAAAGATGAATTTAATTGAACGGAATAAAACTGTACATTTTATTTATTTATTTATTTTTATTTAAACTATTTGCGAGTCCCTGCTTTACTACAAATAAATACTTTTACTTCATCTCCCTTTCCCTACCTCCTAACTGACAGCTGCGCTGGAGATTGAGGATGCCAATCCTCTGCTGAAGAATCTAAAGCAGAAAGAATTCCGCTGGCCAGTTTTGGGTGATGCACTGGGCTCTTCCTCACGCTGGGTGGAGTCTCAGTTTAACCTGCTGGAGACATTGGCACAGATTCGCAGTCAGCACAGCAAGTCTGTTCTCATCCGGCTTTTTGTCGCTCCTGATGACAAGAATTCTAACCAGTACATCATCAAGGTGAGATCCTAAGCCTTGTTTACACTTGGTATGGAGATTATTTTTCATTAATCTAAGCACAAGTGGATGAGTTTTAAGTAAGGGATAAAGTACATCCAGGCAGTTATTAGCAGCTGTTGTATTATGCTGGGATAACATCCACCTGGATGTACTTAATCACAATTTTCTTTTCTTTTTTTCTTCTTTTTTTTGCATGGCTGCTTGCCACACAATTTTTGGTCTAAACATTTGACAAAACATTGTTCCGAGCAATTACAATTTTTTAATTCTTAAATGCAAAGCTGACGAAAATGGAAATGGCTGAATGGAGCATACACTAACCTACAGTACCTATTATTGACTGACGATAAACTACACAGTATTCAGTCACAAGATGTCATCAAACAGTCAAAAATGCAAAGCTGACCGAAACACAACTGGTTAGATGAAGCATATACTAATCTATGTATTATTTGTTCACAAAATGGCTCCAAGTGACAAAAATAGCAGCATGATGAGCATTTAAATGTGGATGTGAACTTATGCACTGATTTTCAAGATGACTTGAAGTAGCCAGATGAGCCAGTGATTTTAGTTTGAGGTTATCAGGGATTATTACACTGTCTGGGATACACTATTCTGATTGGTCAGTTGCAACATTCCAAGGTATGTTATTCCCAAACAACAACTGCTAAATAACACAGGCTTATCTAGGAACTTAAAATCAACTTGACCATCAGTGAATATGTTCGCATCCATACTTGCATCCCCATTCATATGTATCTGCTTGTCTGTCACGCCACATTTTGTAACTACTGTATTTGACCTAATATGTAGATTATCCTTATCTTTACTCAGTCAGTTTAGCTTCTCTCAGCTTTGCATTTTTGACTGTTTAGCACCATCTTGTGACTGAATAATGCACATGTTATTGTATGCTTTAGCGCCACTCAGCCAGTTTTGTTTTCATTAGCTTTGCCTTTTGGAAATTCTAGGTTATTATGGCTCAAAACAAAATTTATGTCAAAGTAGCCATGAAATAAATGGGACAAAGAACATCCAGGATGGTTATTTTTGCTAATTAAAACCCTTTTTAGTCTTATTCAACCTCCTAATGATCACATGCCAATGTTGCTGTGATAACAAACCTTCTTGCCTGTACTTTATGAATAGTATAACATAGCTTGGAATGTCGTGACTGATCAATTAGAATCAAGTATTTCAGACAGCCATGTAATAATATGGTATAAAATATAAAATCTTTCCTACCACTTGCACCAACTTCCAGAGGTAGTTAAAAACACATTTGATTTGATTTGTCATTGTAATTCAAACACTCTTGTGATGGATTGAATGAATGCAGAGAATCACCAAATTTTCGTTCATTGACCGAACCTGTGATCATTAGGGGGTGTGTTGTAAAAATGTTTTAAGTGCCAAATCAAATCGTTATTGATTAAAATAGTAGCTGCATCCACATATTCTTGCTTTTCCTGGTCACAAGCCACATAAAATTGGTTAGTTAATTCACAAGTTCTCGTGCTTCACACTGAGCCCATCTGTGGAAGTGATGTAGAGCATGATGAAATAAGAGGGTCTCGACAAAATCTGAACACAAGTGGTCACATGTTAATACAAGAAATGGTAGTGCATAACAGCTGACCGCATATTAGGTGGGAAAATAATCTTTCAGTTTTAAAGGTGCTGTATGTAAGTTTTTGACTTTTCTAAAGCATAAAAATACCATGCAGATATTTAAGAAACATGCTAAGTAAACACTTGTTTATCTGAAAAACAATTTTGAAGTCAGTTATTCTGCTTTGAAAATGTGCATTACGTGCCGGAATCGGGTGTCTTTGTTTTGGTTCTTTTAAGCTACCCACTGCTACTGTTTGTGGATATGCCCATTTATTTTATTTATAACTGCCGCAATTTAATAGGGCACTATAAAGGTTAAAGAACTTAATTCTTACATTTGCTTAATTTTTGTAATGTAATGTATTTTTTTCTAAAGCATACAGTATAATGTAAAAGCATGTTTATTACTAAGAAAACTTAAACAAACAAACAAAATTATATTTGAATTGAACACATCACTTAGGGTACACACACAGTACTGTCCTATCTAGTAATGTGAAAAGCCAAAGCTGAAAATCTATGGTTAAAAGCTGCTGGCACACCTACTACCTCAGCAGCGGTGGTAAGCATTGCGGCAGAGGGAACATATTGAAGTGGTGACATCCCTCTTAACTGGGTGCTCAGCTAAACGCAAAAGGTGCAAATTAAATATATTAAAGGCGACAACACCAAAGCTCAAATCCAAATTTATTAAATTAAAAAAGCTGAGACAAAGCGCTTTGTTGCTTTTGTATAATTTACCATACCGTTAAAACCTTATACCGGCCCTTGATACCTTTTTGTATTTGTAAGTTTTACTGGTGGCATGTTGTTTAATCTATGGTTAATCTAGCTAAACCATATTTATTTTTTGTAAAGTTTGCTTTTACAAAAAAAAAAAAAAAAAGTTGTAAGGGTGGTGCAAAGCTAACTGTTTGGCCAAACAATAGACTATTGACCTTATTCTAAAATGCGGAAGTGCGCCTGTTTTCGCGATTGTCTTAGAACTTCCGATTCAGTCGCCTATGGGAGAAATGACAAGGAATAATAAACGGCACAAAATGGCCAAACTACTTGCTCAACAAACAAATGTTTGCATGACTACACAGACCAAGTAGCATAATATAATAAGAAAATATTAAATTGCAACATCAAGCAGCGTAACGAGCAGTTGTTAACGTCAAAAAATGAATGAAAGTGAATGTGACCGGAAGTCGCGAGACAAAAAGATTCAAATGGCAGTGCCCACTCGTCAGCTGAGAATAAGGTGAATAGAAAAGAACATGGGTGAAAATCTAATTCTCTTTTTTTTTTTTTTTTTTTTTTTTTTTTTTTTTTTTTTCTCCTAGCTGGACCAAGCCTCTTTGTCCCTGTCATCCAGAGAAGATTACATCACCAACACAACGGAGGCACAAATGGTACATCTATTAATCTGTATATCTTTACACACCTGTCGTCTCAGTGAGCGCTGGTTTCATCTTTTCTCAAACCTTACTTTATTTTTTTTAAATGCCTCTTTTGCAGTACCGAGAGGCACTTTTAAGGCTGATGGTTGACGTTTCTGTCATGCTTGGAGCAAGTGAGCAGGCTGCTGAGGCTCAGATGAAATCGGTACTTGATTTTGAGATGAAACTTGCACAGGTGAGCGACAATAGACAAATTCCTTCTAATCACTGGCGGTAAAATGAAACCATGCAGTCAGGGTACTTGATGCTTCAATGGAGTTTGTATCTTTTAGATCGTGATCCCTTATGAGAACCGCACTAGTGAGAACATGTACAACAAGTACAGCTTGTCTAAACTGCAGCGCACTGTTCCAGATGTAAGTACTTTATTACTTATGCAAGTATATTATTTGCTCCTTATGTCATACAGTACTCCAAATAGACACATGTAATTAGTGATATGAGGCAGGCTGATTATTTGGCCAGTATTGATCCATGTTGAGGTGACTGGCATTTGCTATAGGCAGATGAAAGGTTAATTGGTTTGATTATAGTTAACACTATATTAATTGCAGAAATTAATGCCTTGTTTCTCAAGCTGAAAATTGAGTAAAGCGATTTATTTATTTATTTATTTATTTTATTTGTAGCTGTTGAATTTAAAGCCATTTAACTTCAGTAAATCTACTTAATTCTGTCAAATAAGACCTGATCTTAGAAATTTTACTATAACCTACCTAATGACTCATTTTGATGAATTTTTATTATTATTAATTTATTTATTTTTTGTGTAATTTATTTTATATATCTTTTTATTTTATTGCATTTTTTATTTTTTGTGTGTGTGTGTGTGCGCGTGTAATTTTTTTTTTCATTTTATATTTTATTTCATTTTATATTTTGTTTGTTTTTTTCTTATTTGTATTCACATTTTGTTTTTTATTTTTGTTATTTTAAATTTTATTTTTTTATTATTTTTTTTTTATTTAATATACTTTTTTATTTTATGATGCTTTACAATAATATATTTTATATCAAAGCCAAAACTGGAACTAATCTTACAAAAAACAAAGTTGTAAACCCAAATTAAGATGTTGGGGAACGCCGTAGGTAATGCTGTCGCCTCACAGCAAGAAGGTCGCTGGTTCGATCCTCGGCTCAGTTGCCGTTTCTGTGTGGAGTTTTTGCACATATATAGGCTTGTCCGTAGTATATAAGTGTGTGTGTGTGTGTGTAAATGCGTGTGTGTGTGTGTGGATCTCCCCCAGAGATGGGTTGCAGCTGGAAGGGCATCTGCTGCGTAAAAATGTGCTGGATAAGTTGGAGGTTCATTCCGCTGTGGCGACCCCGAATTAATAAAGGGACTAAGCCGACAAGAAAATAAATGAATTAATAAATGAACAAGAAAACATAAAAAAAAAAAATTCAGTTAAAATGTGTAGCTTTTTTTTTTTTCCCCTAATAACTCCTATTACTTTTTCCATTGCTAAAGATGTTAGGTGATCAATTTTTGTCTTGTTAGATAAAATGGTTATGCCTAAATAAACTAAAAATGATTAGCCTGTGTTCCCCATGGCCAGTCTGCCCCTGTATATACCTACATTGTAGGTAGATCTAGAAAAGATTTGAAAGTTTATTTCTCTCTACAGTTTAACTGGCTGGGTTTCGTCAGAGCAGTGATTGACACAGAGTTGTACCCGGATCTGAAAATCTCCTCTTCAGAGCAGGTGATCGTACGTGCTCCACAGTACTTTAAAGACCTCTTCAAACTCATCAACGCCACAGACACCAGGTATCCAGACTGCTCTGAAACGATTAAAACCCCATTAAAAGCTACATCACAGCCCTGAGGCTCTGTCTGGACATCGTCATTTGTGTGATCGCTGTGTTTTAACGTGTGCTGTTTATGCTTCCTACCTGTTTATTACCAGCTCTGCTCAATAACAGACTCGAGATTACTCTGTAATTCAGCTAAATGTGTGCGTGTTTTGTTTTTTCCACCCTCGCCTCAGGACAGTTGCCAATTACGTCATATGGAGATCGGTTTTCTCCCGAATCACCACTTTGAGTAGACGATTTCTCTACAGATACCTGGACTTTGCTCGGGTTAGTGAAACGCCGGCTCATTTGAACCGTCCACCAATCTATAGATGAAATTAGATTTGCTGGTGTTTAAAAATATCTGTCTTTTCTCAGGTTACTACAGGGACCACCTCTCTGACCCCTCGCTGGGACAAGTGTGTCAATTATGTTGAAAACACACTCATCTATGCCGCTGGTAGGCTCTTTGTTGATAAGCATTTCCAGGAGGACAAGAAGCACATGGTATGGCTTTTATGCATCAAGTCATGCAGCTATTTATACTGTAGTATTTATATTATTTATATTTACTTAGCCATTATAGGAATTAATTACATTTTAAATTGTAAAAAAATGGAAAACAGTTATTTTAAAATTGAACATTAGGCCGATTTAAAATATTTTGTGTGTGTGTTTAAATAAATATAAATGTGCGTGCGTGCTCGTGTTTTTTTTTTTATTAATATTGTTTTTTTTTTTATTGTTGTGATGTAAATTTTTATATCTTTTATATGAATTGTTTTTTATTGTTGTGATATTTCTGTTGTAATAGTTATTTATTCCATGGTTTAAAATATACAATAAAATAAATATAAAGTAATAAATAAAGTAATAATTAAATTATATATATATATATATATATATATATATATATATATATACACATACAATTAATTATTACTTATTATTATTATTATTATTATTATTATTATTATTATTATTATTATTGTTTTTTGTTATTGTTGTAAGATTTCATACTATTTCTGTAATTTTTATTTATTCCATGGTTTAAAAAAAATACAATAAAAATAAAGTTAAAACCAGCTTTGCAATTTTAGGAGCAAATTTTTTTTTAATATATTTAAATACAAAACAGTTATTTTAAAAGTGCATAATTTTACATTAATTCACATTTATTTTTATTTAAGTTATAAATTAATTTATATATATTAAAAGCCGGCTTAGCAGGAACAAAAGCATTTTAAAATATTTCAAAAATAAAACATTTAAAACAAAAATATTACAAATAAATTTAAGAATAACCTTTTATAATAGGTTATAGGTTTATGTAGTTAATTATTTCCCAATATTTGTATTTCCTATATTTTCAAACTAAATGTATGCATCAATTCATTCTGTATAGAAATGAATAACTTGTAAAATAATAAAATATAAAAGTCCTCAAATTGTAATTATAATTCACCATATTTTTATATAGGGTTTCTATATAGGTAAAATTCTCCACAACATTTGTATTTACTTTTTATTTTCTATGTTGTACAATTCCCGCATTTATTTTCAGTTATGGTAACATTTCTATGTTTGATCTGCATTAAGTTTAGCAGATATTCAGCTTCATTACTTTCAAATATACAATGAATAAAAGAAATGTGAATTATGATTACAGTTGTTTTCTTACTGATTTTTTTTCAGCAGATATTACTTCAGTCATAACAAGATTGATTTGGTTTTTGTCTCCATCTAGTGGCACTTATCATGAACAAAACTTAAAACGTTGGATATTTTTATGCTATGATTTAAAAATGTTTTTTATCTTTTATGTAGATGGAGGAATTGATCAATGGCATCAGATGGGCATTTATTGACATACTAGAAAAAGAGAATGAATGGATGGATGAAGAAACAAAGAGAAAAGCGATAGATAAGGTGTGTAGCCGTGAATTTGAATACACAGCATGACTGAAACTGAACTCCTTTCTCATTATTGTCTAAATCTAACATCAGGCTCATGCAGTTCTACCAAAAGTGGGTTACCCAGACTTCATTTTAAATGACACCTATATTAACGAAGACATCAAAAGGGTATGTTTTTTTGTTGTTAATGCTGATGACATTTCGGTTTTAATTGTATTCAGCAGTCCATTAAGGTTTACTGTTTTTGCACAGTTGGCGTTCACTATGACTGACTACTTTGGAAACGTCATGCAGACTCTGAAGTTCATCGCTCAGTCTGATATCGGCTGGCTGAGGAAAACAGTCCCACGCACAGAGTAAGCTGTCAGCCTTTTCAAAGTCAGTTTAATGAGACGAGTCTATCTTTGAACGCGATGAAACGTCACTTTTTCTTGTTTCCCTCAGGTGGTTCACCAACCCGACTACAGTCAATGCTTTCTACAGCTCCTCCACCAACCAGATCAGTGAGTTTCACATTTTAGTTCATTATTTAAGTCACTCACAGCCCTCTTAGTTCTTATTCTGGTACGGTGAATAAAGAGTAGTTTGTGGCCAGTTAATTTAGTAAGTTACTAAAGTTAAAGATACTTTTTAAAAAGAAAATGACACTTAATTCACAAGGAGACGCTAGTTTAATAAATTATATTAATAAATAGTTTTTTTCTTGGCTTAGTACATTTTTAATAAACACAACTGTTTCATCAAGATCATGTGACACTGATGACTAGAGCACTGAAAATTCAGCTTTGCACCAGATTTTAATTAAATTTGTTTTAAATTTGAAGTATCAAATTTTTTTAAATTTTTTTTTTATTAAACACTAATTTATAATTTTGCTGTCATTTTAATATCATAAATCCAACATTGCCAAATATTAAAATGAATAATTTTGAAATATAGTAAGTAAATGTTGGTTTTATTGGGGGATGATTTTTAAGCATCAAAACAATAATAATAATATACTGTAAATCTTTGTTGTTTTTAATACCCTTCAAACCACAAGGTTTTATCTACTCTCACCGGCCACTTTATTAGGTACACCTAGCAATCTGCTCGTTAATGGAAATTTCTAATCAGCCAATCACATGGCAGCAACTCAATGCAAGGTGATTTAAGTTACTTTGAACATGGCCTGGTTGTTGGTGCCAGACGGGCTGGTCTGAGTATTTCAGAAATTGCTGATCTACTGGTATTTTTATGTCTGTTCAATATATTTTAACTTAAATAACCACTTGTTGTAAACGAAGTATGCAGAAGAGCATCTCTGAACACACAACACGTCCAACCTTGAGGCGGATGGGCTATGGCAGCAGAAGACCACACCCTGGGTGCCAGAACAAGAAACAGGCTACAATTTGCACAAGCTCACCAAAATTGGAAAAAAAAAAAAAATTGGAAAAACGTTGCCCGGTCTGACAAGTCTCTATTTCTGTTGCGAAATTCAGATGGTAGGATCAGAATTTGGCGTCAACAACATGAAAGCATGGATCCAACCTGCCTTGTATCAATGGTTCAGGCTGGTGGGGGTGGTGTAGGGGTGTGGGGAATATTTTATTGGCACACTTTGGGCCCATTAGTACCAACTGAGCATTGTGTCAACACCACAGCCTACCTGAGTATCGTTGCTGACCATGTTCATCCCTTTATGACCACAGTGTACACCTCTTCTGATGGTTACTTCCAGCAAGATAACGCTCCATGTCATAAAGCACGAATCATCTCAGACTGGTTTCTTGAACATGACAATGAGTTCACTACGCTCAAATGGCCTCCACAGTCACCAGCTCTCAATCCTATAGAGCACATTTGGGATGTGGTGGAACAAAAGATTCGTATCATGGATGTGCAGCTGACAAATCTGCAGCAACTGTGTAATGCTATCATGTAAATATGGACCAAAATCTCTGCCGAATATTTCCTGTACCTTATTGAATCTATGCCACGAAGGATTAAGGCAGTTCTGATGGTAAAAATGGGTCTAACTCTGTACTAGTAAGGTGTACCCAATAAAGTGGCCGGTGAGTGTATTTAGAAGTAAGATTTAAGCTTTTATTTATTATTTTTATTAGCCATGATGTTTAACAGCAAGGACATTTTCACAGTATTTCCTCAATTTTATTTAAGTGAAAAAAGTTTATTTAATAATAAAAAAAATAAGAATTTAGGTTCATATTATTAGCCATCTTAAGAAATGTATTATTTTTATGTTGGCTACAGAACAAACCTCTGTTCCCCAATGTCTTTTAATTAATAAACTTAATTTGGTTAACCTATTTAAACCTTTAAATTGCAGTTTTAAATGTCATTGTGTATTCAAATGTATTGTCAAGGCAAAGAATTAACAAAAAACTAAAATACATTCTCTATTAAACAGCACTAGTAAAAAATTAATAAAAACATTTCACAGGACTACAACTATAAATAACGTTGTCTTCAACTGCTTCAACATCCATAAGACATAATCGCAATGTGTCCACTGTTTGAGATGGCCAGATACTAGACTATTATGTTTACTTGAAAGCTATTTGATAGCTTATTGATCTGTTGTTTTCTATACCCAGGATTCCCTGCAGGAGAACTTCAGAAGCCTTTTTTCTGGGGACTTAACTATCCTCGGTGAGACGCAGATATGCTCAATATTAAATTTTGCAATCATCTGGATTTTTAATAATACTAATAATAATGTTGTCGTATCAGATCCTTGAGCTATGGAGCGATTGGTGTAATTGTGGGCCACGAATTGACCCATGGCTTTGATAACAATGGTAAGGCCATTCGATATTTTTTAGTAGTGCATGCATTATCATGCCTATGACTGATTCTAAAGGAACCCTGTGTGTATTTGTGTTCATCTAGGCAGGAAATATGACAAAGATGGAAACCTGGACCAGTGGTGGAGCAACTCCTCAATCAACCGCTTCACTGAAAAGACACAGTGCATGATTGACCAATACAACAGTTACTACTGGAAGGAGGCTGGGCTAAATGTACAGTAGGCATTAGCCTTTTTTACAGCATTTCTGTTTGAGTGCATCATCAAAATTTACTTTAATATTCACAATCCTCTCTCAAGGTCAAGGGGAAGAGGACTCTGGCGGAGAACATTGCTGACAATGGAGGGATCAGAGAATCTTTCAGGGTATTTCAGCATTTTCCACTATTACAGTATTTCTTCAAAGTTTCCTGAAACTGATTTACTGCCATTTTAAACCTGTAGAACTTTCTTTGAAGGATCACAGATGGGAAGTCATATGAAGATCACACAGTCATAATGAATAATATTCATATGACATGAAACAGTGACATGTTCTTTGTGATTCACTGACAAAATGTGACTATAAATAATAATTCATTCCCGATTCTGACTTGGCTTCATCTCTCGAGAGTCACAGATTTTCACTGAATAAGTTCTAAAATATATTTTAAAATAATAATGATTAAAACATAGTTTCCATGCTGACTGTATTCTTTTTTTTATTTTTATTATTATTTTTTTTTGGGCTACTATTGCCTATTATTAGACTTTTATACTTGTTTATTAGATACTAGTACTTGTTTCAGTTATAACAACAGTAACTACTATTTTGTTACTAACAAATTTGTATTAGTTTTGCCATTGACTTCTATTGGAATCTGTCATAATGGAAAATATACGAGTAGCTAAAGAATAAGCACTAGCATTACAGTGTTACAGATATAGATGTTAAGATGGCTCATATAGAAACATTATATTCATATGAATTAAATGCAGCGGTGCCCAAACGTTTTCTTATGATCGGCCAAAAAAACTAAACTTGATTGAGGGCCGTGGACAGAAGGTAAATATATCAAGCTGCATTACAAAGTCCCCATGCAATTAAAAATGAATAGAAAATATTACTTTCATCATATTAAGTAATCTATTATATATTTTTTTAATTTTATAATGAACCTGAATTCCATTTACAACACTATGGAGTTTACTGCCAAATACACTAGTCAAGCTGCACCTGCCTTTTGCTCACTAGGACTTCTAAATTGTGCTCTATCCGCAACAGTGTGTTCTTTTACAACATTTACCTGATACATTTAATTCAAGTTAGCTTAAAAATAAAACTAACAAATGAAAGATTACATTAAACTAGGCCAACTTTAGCTGTGGGTCCTTTGTTTGGGCATCTCTGTTTTAATGTATATCAGACTCAACTTCATTATCCCGTTTAGGGAAACTAAAATTGCAGCAAGGCGCCATAACACAGGCGAAGTTCCTTGTACACATTAATAAAATATTACCACACAACATACCATACATCATTATGTAGGTGTATCTCCCTCCCCCTGGACTCATTTAATGACTTGGCCACCATTATAAAAGAATTTCTGGTTCTATTTGTCCTGCAAATAGGAACTCTAAAACGACGTCCTGATGGCAGCAGCTAAAACACAGAGTACAATTGGTGATCCGAAATGCATAGGATACCCTGAGCTCTCTTTAAAACATAATTATGGTAAATTACTATTGGACCAGTTTGGATAAAACTGATGATCGTTCTTACTTGACACACTCATTACCGTACCAAGCTACAATGCAAAGAGATAAAACAGATTCAATAAAATGTTAATTAAACGGTGTCATCATAGAGGTACAAACCTGAAACGATATAAGACCTATAGAAAAAACTACAAATATTTGCAAAGTTTTTGAACTTCTAAAAAAAATTTTGGAATGACAAAAGGGTGCATTGCTATGAAATCATGTGCATACTGATGTGAATGTGTCTGCAGGCCTACAGGAGATGGGTCGAGAAAGAGAGAGGAGGTGTCGAGGAGCCTCTCCTGCCTGGTGTGGGTCTGACCCATAACCAGCTGTTCTTCCTCAGTTATGCTCATGTTAGTATTCAACGCTTCACATAGAAATGCTGATCTAAATATCGTCAGAAGTCCTGTTATTTTGTGTTCTTAATTACACTTAATTTGAAAACCCGTACAGTAAATCTATTCAATTACGTAAATACCCGTGTGCTCACTCAAAGGTATGCACTATCCCATTATTTTAAAATATGTAGGTCAAAGTTGATGTCCTATTTTGTTCAAAATGCTGATCCTAAAATAAATAATATAGTGATTTCTCTTAAGAGTATAAGAATAGAGTCTGTAACACTTTAGAATAATGGTCCATTAGTTGGTTAGTAATGACATTTAATAACATTGATAATCTTACATTTTAATAATCTCAATATTCACTAATGCATTATTAAAAGACAAAGTTGTGCTAAGATAATATGAACTAATGTTATTTAACTTGAATAACATAAAAATTGTTGATGTTTAAACACCATAATAAATGTTCTTCTAGTAGTTTGTTCATGTTAGTAAATCTTTGAGCTAACATTAACTAATGAATGATTAGTTATATGATATATTGATATATTATATGATATATTGGTGTAGTAACTATGTAACATTGATCACTTAATCAAAGGTTCCATTAATAATGTATTTACTAACATGATCTAAGAATGAACAATATTTGTACAGCATTTATTAATCATCACCAGTGTATTATAAATATCCAAAATCGTGCTTGTTAACATTTTAATGCACTGCTTTTTAACAACAATTTACAGTGCACGACTTTATTTTCATTAACTAACATTAACTATGGAAACTTGTTGTAAAGTGTTTGTTACATTTAATGACGTTAGTTGATTTATTCTTACACTACTGTCCAAATATAATAAACAGGCATATAAGGTACATTTTGTACATGCACACATGTAGGTTTTGATGCATAAAACCACATAGTTTCTGCCTATACGCAAATTATTTTATAGTGGACAGGCATAAAAAAAAACAGACTGATGATAGATAATATCCCTTATTGATTTATATTAAGAACTGCAAACATTTGTGTTACAAAATGAACTGTGTAGAATTGCAAGAGGCCATTATCTAATAAAAACACACGATTTTGCATTTCTAGATAAAAAATATTAAAAACATATTTAAAATCTTAAGATAATTATTCAATTGTAATATAATAAAAGTCAAATAGATTATTTTATATATAAAAAAAATTAAAATGCTTGTTGGATGTTTTCTTTTCCACTATTTTAAAATAACACCTTATAAAAACCTAAATCACCCAAAATCTCAAAACTACCTAGCTCTTTAAATGAGAGCCCTTTGGAGTTGCTTTTGTATTTTATATATTTTATTTTTATTTATATACTTTATTTTTATAATATTGTATTTATTTATTTTAAAATTTATTATTCAGATTTTATTTTGTTTGTTTATTTTATTATTATTTATTATATTATATTTGATTTTTATATTTTCTTTATTTTATTTTTATTTTATATTTTATTCATTTTATTTTGTTTATTAATTATTTATATTTAATTATTTGTTATACATTTATATTTTATCTTTAGGATTTATTTTTTATATTTATTTTCAAATTTTATTCATATTTTATTTTATATTTTATTCACTTTTTTATTTTATTATATTTTAGTTATTTTTATCTTTATATTTTGTTATTCAGTTTATTTTAATATTTATTATTTATTTATTTATATACTTAATATTTTATATGTATTTTTTATTTTATATTTGTTTTATTTTTAGATTTATTTTATTCTTATTTTATCTTTTAATTATTTATTTTCTTTCATTTATTCATTCGTTCCTGTTTCATTTTCTTTCTAGGTTCGCTGTAATGCCTACAGACCAGAAGCGGCTCGTGATCAGATCCAGAGTGGAGCTCACAGCCCTCCTAAATATAGGTATGATGCAATACCACGGCCTACACACAGCTCATTTACATCTATATTACATCGTCTATCCTTCAATGTCACTCATTTCACTCTCATTACTATGATATAGGGTTATTGGAGCGATGAGCAACTTTGAAGAGTTCCGTAAAGCTTTTAACTGCCCTGAGACGTCAATCATGAACAGGGGGGCGGAGTCCTGTCGAGTGTGGTAATGTGAAGACTTCGATCACAGCACAACCCAAACCTCCTGATTTTGTCCCACAGGGGCCGTGCTGACCAATGAATGGCCCTTAGCCGTCAGCCACTGGAAAACTGTAGAAAATACATGCAGTGCCTACAACACCTGAAAGCTTTCAAACACATCTGCAGCTTTGTTTTTACTGTCTGACCTCAATTGAAATGTACAAATAGCAACACGCGGACCACAAAAATTCCCTGAAGGCCTTCCTTCGGTTCATCACTGCTTTTTTATTCATACAAATTAGGCCGCACTGTCGCTTTAAGAGTGCTATAAATTATTATTGTTGTTGATGTTGGTTAAAGTTGGTAATTGTCTCTTTTTATTGTATTGAAAACGTGAGTAAATAATGATTTTTTTTTCTGATGTGTTTGGATTGTCTTTAGTGTGTTGTTTTTCTATGCAGACAAAAAAAAAACATCTGTTTAGCTGTAGTTTACATTTTTTATAATTTATATATATATATATATATATATATATATATATATATATATATATATAAGAAATGAGTATAAGAAATGAGTTATTAAAACTTATGTTTAGAAATGTTGAAAAAAAATCAGAAACAGAAATTGGGAGAAAAAAAAAAAACAGGCAGCTAATAATTCAGTAGGGCTAATAATTGTGATTTCAACCGTATATAAATAAACCGTATGCAATCTGCACTCCAAAATAAAGGTACAAAGACTGTCAAGGGGTGGTTTTCCCCAAGGGGTTAAAATAGAAGGTACCAGCTTTATTACAATTTGTGTATAATAATAGAAAAGCACAATACTCGACTTTTTTTATTTTATTTTTTATTTTTTTAAGAAATAATAATTTATGCAGTCATGCACGTTTTGACAGCTAACATGACCGTGATTTATTGCTTGGTACTTTGATACTGGTATCAAAATGCTTTTTCGACGCAAAATTAATTTAAATAGACAAATTTTTTATTATTTTTTTTTTATTATTTACTCAGGAAATTAAGCTTTATCACTGTAAGATCTGATACAAGCTCCTCCTTACCACTAGAGGTCCTCCTCCTCACATTCAGATTTATGTTTACGTTTCTGCCTGTTTCCTCATTGTTTTTTATTTTATATTTTTATTGCATTATAAGACAAATACAATAAGACAAAATTCGAATAGCAACTTTTATCTACATTTATAGAACATGGAAAGAAAAAAAAAAAACATTTACACCGGGTCTCCTATTAATTAAAGTTTTTTCAATAAACTAAACCGTCTTCTTCCACACTTGGATTGTATCAAAAAAGATTCCTAAAAATAGTGGTTTTGTTTTAAGGCACTTGCATATTTAAACAGCCAGTTATGCCTTACGTCAATTAAGAAACTTGAATAGGCCTTGGCTACTATAATAAAGACAATTTGCTCAAAGTAAAACTAAATAATTGTTAAATACTCTCGACACATGAAAGTGTAAAGCATGCAGCCCGCAATTTAAAAAAAATCGTTTACTACGAATTTTATAGAATTTTGCTCACAAGGAAAATTGAATATTAATCAGATGATGTCATTACGCTGTTGTGCTGTCAGTAAGTATTGACTTCTATAGCAGAAAAACAAATACTATGAAAATCAATGGTTACAAATTTTTTTTAAATTTAACATTTTTCAAAAATTCTTTTGTGTTCAACAGAACAAAACAAAAATCTTCTTTGGAACAAGTCAAAGTTTAGTAAAGAATAGCAGAATTAAAAATTTTTAGCCCTATTGTATATCTCTAGAGTTTTTTTTTTTAAATGTTTTAGCTTTTAACATGTACTACAGAAATCAAAACTAAACTTAAAAATTGAATAGATTAAATAATAATATTATACAGAGAAAGGATTTGTGTCAGCTTTCTTCAAGCATCCTTAAAAGGGATTCCAAATTTTGAAAAACATTTCAGGTTTTCTCTTGATTATATACAGTAATTTCCTGAAGCCAAACAATAAGACAATTCCCGGAACTATTGTCCAAAATGTCAGTATTTTTCTAAATATGAGCTATTATATGTTTTGCAAACCCTTTAAAATATTTTTCTTGGTATGAATATTTTAGTAACCCATATTTCATTAAGAACCTTTTGTGCATTGTTCCATAAATCAGTGCTTTTGATGGACCCATAAATCTATTTATGAGCGAAACAAGAAATCAATGCAAATATTGCTTTTCACCTGACCAATCAGGAAAATATCTCTGCAACAGTCTACGCAAGCACAGGGGGAAATTAGATGAATGAAAACTGGAATCAGCGCTGTTGGACAAACTCAGCTTGAATTAAGCGCAAGCACACACACACACACACTCTACAGAAGTCCAATAATGGAGATAGGATGTGAACCAAAATCAATTGCTTTGACCTCCATTTACACAGAAATAACAGAGGAAGTCTTGTGGGGACTAAAGAGTGAAAAACAGAATTTCATTGATTGGAGTGCTAAAAGGGAAAGGTCTAAAAATAACCCCGAGCTGCTGAGGAGATGCATCTGTCAGTCTGTGTGTGTGTGTGTAGTGTTTGCTGTCATTCTAAGGCGCGAGAAAGAGAGCGACAAAGTATAATGGGTTCAAATGTCCGGGGGGCCAAATCTTCATTCTGCCTGGAGATGAAAGAGAGACAGAAAGCTGGAGGAAGAGAGAGGGAAAGAGAGTGAGTCTTATAGAGCAATGCCAGAGGCAGCCAATTCATCTACTGAAGCATGAGGCTTGTGAATGAGAACACAACTGTGCCCTGCAGGAACACATGCTATATTTTTTCTAAAATAGCTTTAATAACATTTTTGTTGCTTTTATGAATATTAAGCGTAGAGAATTGGACCTTTTAATTGAGACTACAGTATATTCTGTGATACAGCTAACAAAAAATAAATAAAATAATAAATCACTCAAGTTATAATAGGTTCTATGGATTTTCCAGGATTATGTTTTTAGTAATAGATTTTAGTTTTTGTAAGTGAAAAAATTCTGATCCATTTTATATTCACATTTTTACATTAACACCCCTAACACTGTCTAGATCCCCTAACACTTTCTAGATACCCTAACACTGTCTGGTCTGTTTTCTGTTGTTTTTATTTTCTTAAAAACACCTGAGCTCCGAACAATCTCTCTTTGTATATACATCAATCTCGTTTTCCCTATATAAATTGTGTATGTGTGTACATTTAACTGGGTGTTTCAAAAATAGTACAATATATACTTTAAAATAAACATTCCCCCAAAAGACTTTGAAAGTATTTTTATTTTAAAGGTTTTCTGGGCAGATCTGTTTTACTTTTGTCTGATTCTAGTTATGTAGATTTAGGTGATTTACATTTAAACAAAGGTCAAATCCAATTTTGAAGGGTTAAAAATACAGGTTTCAAAGAGATTTGTTTGGAGCAATGAGGTATAATTACCATTTAGGGTAAACGGTTCTTAAAATAGTCTGTTTTAGTATGATATAACTAAATACATGATAAATAAAAAAACATGATACATGCACCTTATTAAAAAACCTACACTATGTTTGTATATATAGAGGTTTTTAATGATATTGTTTCTTTGTGCCACCACTATATTTGTGCTCTTTAACGCTATTCTTATACATTTATTTATTTATCTGTATGTGCTGTTGGGGATGTTTTCATCCAGTCTGGGGTGATTTTGTGTCTTAATTTGGCCATAACTTTTTCTGTGTAGCAGAAAGATTTTTGGTGACATCTTATTTTGACACATATTTTGAGAACATGCTTTGAATAAAAAAAAAAAAAAAAACCTCAAGGATACACTCTGGGCAAATTTGCTATTCTTTTTGTTAAGTTAGGGATGAAAATATCCACTAAATTAAACTGCAGTAAAAATCCATCAGATTCTTTTTTTTTTTTTTTTTTTTTCATAAATCTGTTAATCACCCTCAGTCCTGATCAACACTACTAAATTGCTTCGAAAATTACAGGATTTTTACTTAACTTTTACTGCTAAATTCATAAATGATGTCACTGATTTGGTGAAAAAAAAAAACACTAAATCACATTTTTTAATATAAAAAGTCATTTTTGTGGTTTATTAAAAAAAAAGTGAAATAATTGTGAAATGGTTGACAAATTTATAATAATTTTGGACTGGATTTTTTAAAACCTTTTATCACAGTTTTGGACATGTGAAACAACATTGCCTTTGACGCATTTTTGCTGCATAATAAAAAATGCATCTCAGCTCTCAGAACTTCATGGAGTAAACAAAAACAAAGACTGTGTATTTATGCACCATCAAATGTGGTTATAATGGAAATCAAAAGGGCAAATGCAGCCTCCAACAGTAAATTAGGGAGAAAAAAATGAAAATCTAACAATGCATCAAAGCCAGTGTTGTTACTAATCGTTCGCATGTTCAAGACTGTGATAAAAGAAAAGAATCCAGTCCACAATTACTGTTTATATTAAAAATACGCCATTTTGTGTGTTTTTTTCCCACCAAATCAGTGACATCATTTATGAACTTGGCAATTAAAGAATTAAAATCTGTAATTTTCTTAACGATTTAGTAGTTTTGATCAGAACTGAGGTTGATTAACAGATTTTAATCAAATGTTTCCAGTTTAATTCAGTGGATGTCTTTATCCAGAACACAACAAAAGGGTAGTGAATTTGAACAGTGCACAAGGGTTAATTACAGAATAGTGTTATAGTCATTGGCCTTGGTACATCTCTAAATAAATATAAGCTTAGAATATTCTCTATTTTTTTTTTTTTTTTTTTTTGTTACCTATAATTGCTTTGAATAACAAACCACTTTTTGTTTCTAGCCAGCCTCTGCATCTAAGATTTCAAATTCACCAAATCATCATCCGATAAGAAATTTGCTTATCTTGGCCTGTTTATCACTCGCTCTCCCCCCTCTGCCTGTCTATCTTTGAAACAAGGACAATAACTCAATTACGTGCATTTATGTATACTGTTCCTATGGTAACAAAGGGGCCTGACGGGTGCACTGAAACCTGTGGAGTTTATAGAAGGGTCGAGATGTCTCTGAGAGAGCAGAATGTAATTATATTATCAGCGCATATGCATCATCTTCACTTAGGCTGATCACATACTCTTCCCATAATGCACTGCAACTGGTGGCTTGGGCTAATGAGGAAACAGGACAGTCTCGGAGCTGAAAGAGCAATAATCAATTCAGCGTGAACAGGCCCATCAGTCTTTCAGTGATCAAACCCTTAGTGAATTAAAAGCAGGTTGCACTGACTCGTAGCTTTGTGTAGTTGAATATCCACTGTAGGTATTGTTGAATGGCTAGATTGGTGTCAGAACAACGCAAGCTTAGAAAGTCGAACAGGGCTGAGGGGTTTTCATTGGTTGGCCACTAGATGGAGATTTTACCATCCGTGTGTTTTTTTTTT